TGGAGGCGCCAAAGACTCGCGTCTTCTTCAGTGTTGTAAAACTGGATGTACTTCGATGCATGACCTACATTTCAAGTCGAGGAATCCAAGCATTGCGTGACAGATGGTGCACCAAACGAATCGAGCCAATCGGACAATTTGCTTTACCAGGAAATCTGGGATCACCAAGACAGCCACGAACATATCCCGGAGGGATCTTGACACAGACATTCAGACGAAGACTTTGAAAAACCTGATCAATCTTTACCGGCAAACAACAAGAAAGCAACAAGAGAAGAAAGGAAAACCCCGTCTCCTACAAGTAATCTGATCCGATGTTTGAATGGTTCACGTTCTTTCTCCGCGGCTCATTCATTATACTGCGATATCTCCGACAATTACAAGAACGAAGTCCAACAGGAACTCAGATGGCTCAAGGCAAAGTGGAATTAAGAGAACTTAGAGACCAACAACTAGGAATTGTATCAGACTCATCAAACTGCAGTAACAAAGACGAGAACAGAACCGACGAGGTCCCGACATTATCAACGTTTGCCCCTAACAAGCATTCTAACTGCAACTTCCATGGCGATAACAAGATCTTCCCCGATTCACATAACCGAGGGGGAAGTAAATTAAATGGGGCCCCAATAGGGCATAGAGGCATGGGATAATGAGACTGAGGAACATGTTCCATTCCCATGCATTGCATGTTAAAATGACCCCCACAAGTGACCATCATGTTCCAATGAAAACCTCATTTTAGCTGACTTTGATGTTACCCTATCATTTCATTTAAAAATATTTTGTAATTTCAAATACAGTATAATTATATGATATTAATAAAATATTACAAATGTATTAAAGCATAATATATTATGAAAAATAATCAAGTATGACATGTATTATATAAAAGATATTAAAAATAAATGACATAATTTTGAAAGAATATTAATACTATTTGTTTTAAATTTTGACATCGTGCTTTTTTTTTATTTCTTCACTTATTAGAATTATGGATATAGAAATTATTAATATATATATATATAATCAATAAATTAGAATTTATGGTTTGTATAAATTGTAGTACAACTATTGGGATTTGAGCACTGATGTTATAAGTTGTCAGGGACGGAATTAGAAATTTATTTTAATGAGATTAAAATATTTTTATATTTTATAAATATAATTTTTTTAATTGAAAGGGGAATTAATAAAATTTTCTTTATTTATTTTTTAAATATATATTTATTTAATATTAATTGATACTTAAAAAATAATTATGGAAAAACTCCCTTAATCCCCATGATGTTCCGCCACAGCGAGTTGGGCTGGTCAAAGTTTTCAAAGTGATTAAGAAATGGAATGGTGGTTTGTTTCTTTCATGCCTCAAATCCAATGGGAACTCGTTAATTTTCAAAAAGGAATGAATATATATATATATATATATATATATATATATATATATATTGACTTAATGCACATTTTAATCTCAGAAAATGCCTTCCACGTGGCTAAAACTAGAATGATTTTTCCATTTTTTCATATTCTACTTTTGTGAGTTAACTGTTTTTGAACGTAAGTACTTACGTTGTACATCTGATTTTGGTGAGTAAATCTTTCAATTTCATACACTAAAACTTAAACATAATACATCACTTAAGCGGAATCAAATTACTTACCACTTGAACTAACCCTTGTTAGTCAAAAAAAATATTAGTATAATGTTAATTAAATTAACCTACCATAGTAGTTATTAAGTTAGATATTTTAAATCTGACGTAAATTATATTTAAAATATATTAATTAAATTTTAAACACGTACACCTATTATATCGTTTTACCAATTTAAAGAAATAACCCTCCAAGTTTTATTGATATTTTCTAACCTAACGGATTCAAATTGTGCATGACATAGATGCACATCATAATTTAGGCATTGGCATATGCATGTTGTCCTTAAGGTGGATAAGTACCGACCCTAAAATTAAAATTTCTCTTTAAAATCCGATTTGATTATTCCTTTTATTAATTGTGTCGATCATGAGATTTTATTTATGTTCGCTCATATATAAAAAATTATATTGTTAATAAATGTGTGCGTAATTTCTAAATTTGTCACTGAATTCAGAGAATATGATGGTTCAAGTAGAGATGTAAACGAACCGAACAAACACGAACGAGGATATGTTCATGTTTATTCGTTTAATTTTAACCGAACAAACGAACGAAATTTTTTGTTTGTGTTCGTTCATTAAAAATTTTAGCTTGTTCGTGTTCGTTCATTTTCGTCTGTTTAAACGATAAATGAACACAAATGAACATACATAAACGAATGAACATAAAATTAATTGGTTTATATCTGAGAAGTGTCTTTTTTTTCAAATAATTTTAGGACTTATGTTTTTCTTTAATTGATTTGAGTACTTTTTATTTGGGTTTAAAATTAATCGAGTTTAAAAATTTTAATGGGTTTAAGGTTAAAATTTAAGAAGTCTTTATATTTCAAACGAGCCTGGAGAACATAAACGAACGAACATAAATGAATGTGTTAGGATCGAAGAGGCTCAATTTGATCAACCAAAAATTGCACAAGAGGGTGAATTGGCAAAAGTTTGTTTAGGGAGCAAGGGGAATAGAAGATACAAAAATTTTGCATAGCAATTTATAGTGTTTCGACTTCTCAACTAAGTCTATCTCCACTACCTTAGCTCCTCACTAAGGATTTTCTAACAAATTCACTAATTTGTTCTTTCTTTTTCAAGGACAAAGAGATAACCTTTGCAATACTCCCTAGCTTTTCAAATGCTCAACTAGAACCAAAACCCCTTTATAAGGAAATGAAATGTAAACAAATAAAACATTTCTAAGGTAGGTGTTTACAAAGAATTAAGCTCACTAGAACAAAATATTTACAAGAGAATAGAATAAAGAGTGAAAAGTTCTTCTCTTGTGTTTGATTGCTTGGATATGTGTTCTAACCCTTCTTCAAGTGTCTTGAACTTGTATTTATATGTTGGAATGAAGTTGTTATCAATTCTAGCCGTTAAAAGTGTTTTGGAACTGTTGGGGATGTTTTTCGTTGCAAAATAAAATTGCCCAGAACAGAGGGTATTGGTACTCTTATAGGGAGTATCAGTAATACCTTTGTTATTTTTAAATCAACTAACCGTTACTAGCCGTTGAGGCCTGATGATATCGAGACTATTCCTATGGTATCGATACTACTATACAAAGTAGTATCGATACTCCTTTAAGTATCAGTACCATTTTTGCATTCTGAAATTTGAGCAATGCTAGTAGTATCGATACCTCCCTTACCTTTGGTATCGTTACCATATGAACAATATCGGTACTATTCATGAGGTATCGATACTGTAAGAACAATATCAGTACTGTTTGTCCAGAAAAACATTTTGTGTTCAATTCCAAGTTAAACGAACTTCGAATTATTTTTGAAAACTTTGAATAAATTCAATTCAAGTCCAAAAACATTTTGCCTTAAATTGTTATATTAAAATATAGTTCAATAGAATGAACTTAAACAAACGGACTATCGAATGTTCACGAGCGTAAATGAATGAACGAGTCTTTTGTTCGTGTTCATTTTATAGTTACATAAATCGCTCAATAGCCCACGATCTACGTAATGTACGCTGCGATCCAAAACGCGGTACGAACGTGTTCCAGGTCGTTCCAAAATTGCGATTCGGTACGAAAGCTTATATAATTCGGTACGAACGCGTTCTAGGTCGTTCCAAAATCGCCGGAGACGAAAAAAGTTGAAGCTTTCTTCGTAGATCTATGTTGATAGACCCATTTTTAGGCGAAAATAACCTTGGATCTGAAACAAGGGTGAGGAAACGCTTCGGGTGACATCTCTCTTTTAATTCCGACGCCGACGTACGATGGCGGCCGTCGATGACGCGGCGAAAAACCCACCGAAATCTGGGCGCCGGTTGTATCTCCCTCCCTCTCTCTCTCAAAACTGAGAAATGAAACAAAATGAAAATAATCCCCATTGGGCTTATATGATTACATACATACATACATACATACATACATACATACATACATACATACATACATACATACATACATACATACATACATACATACATACATACATACATATATATATATATATATATATATATATATATATATATTAAGCAAAACACAATCATTTTGGCTTTTCCACATTTCAGTGTTTCTGGTTAAGGTAAATATCTGTTTAAATCCTTGTTTTTTATGTGTTATTTCAGTTATTAAGGAAGTTTTAATTTCTTTTATTCCTACTATTTATAGTTACTTATAAAATTTGATATAGAAAAATAGCAACCTAAGAAACTGGTACATCATACCAATTTATATGGTACATCGTACCGGAGCGATCCGAAATGAGTCTACACCTCCTCGTACCGAATTTTAGGGACCTAGCGAATTACGATCCCGTTCGACGTTCCCGTACCGGAGCGTACCGCGATCCATGTGACTATGGTTCATTCATTTAATTAAACGAACATAAAATCTTGTTCATGTTCGTTTGTTTAATAAAAAAATGAACAAAAACGAACTTCCCGTCGAACGATTCATGAACCATTTACTGAATGTTCGCTTCGTTTACAATCCTAGTTTCAAGTGTGAAACATGGAGCCCCAAATTTAAGGGGGGGAAATCAATGTACCATAAAAGGATTCAACTTTGAGATAAAGATCCACAAACAATCCAATTATGGCAACAAAAGATTGCTATGTATAAAGTGGTCAATGCCAACAACATTATAAATAAAAATCAATAATGAACTCAATAAGTCCAACATTATAAATAAAAATCAATAATGAACTCAATATTTCATATTTAAATAATTTAGTATAATTCTCAAAAAAAATTCGTCCGACGCTAGTTAGAGCGCGCCTCGACGCCTTTTCAAGAGTCAGAGCAACATAGATAAAAAAATAAATAATAAAAGCTAAGCTATGAGGTGAACAAGCCTTGGAGTTGGATCAAAGAGATCAAGGGGGGAAAAACTAATCTTTCAAGCAAATATATACCCTCTCAATATATATGCAATCCAGTTTACCACACGAAATCGATCTTTAGACCATCAGAACCTCAGTTTTATTATATACAAATGAACACAGAGATTTAAGAAGCGGTTCAATCCATACCCGAAGATACAAGGTATCTAGTTATACAATCTTATAGAGGCCTCAATAGTGGGTAGTCCTCGAGTAGTTCTCGCTCCGATAATGTGTCATCTTCATTTTGAGGTGTCCACAAGACCTCAACTGCCTGAATGGGAATCAAGGAAATATCAGGAATGAGCAATCTCGAGTGCTCGAAATTCGGGGGAATAAGACGAGTTCTTACCATTATTTTGCTTGAAGGGATGGAGGCAAGCTTTTGCAAGGCTTCCTTTAAGTCACCACTTCCATTAATGGCAGGCAATTTATGTACTCCCTCAGCAGCCACCAATATTGTTATCTGAAATTTCAGAACTTGGTTAGAAACAAAATAAGTATTAACTCGAAAACTAGACTCACGGTTCTTATTCCCTCTGAAATTTATCACTAAAACCCAGTTTACATCAATTTTAATGGTAATTTACTACTGAAACAATGTGTATTTTTCATATCATTCACCCAATAGATTTGCAGTAACCATAAAAAGTAAGGTCTTACCACTATGTACTCATTGCTAAATCCACTAGCTTTCAGACTACTTGTACTTTGTCTTTTAATATTGTTCACATTCACTAGAGTCTCTTCATCGAATTTACCCCGTTCTTCAATCGAGAGTTGATTGAAGCGTTTCTCCCCGTCGTCCATGCTTCGTTTCACGTCAACCTGAAGATATATAGTATGTCAAAATTTCAACAATGGTATACTGTTAATGAGATTACTACAATAAAAGGACCCTTTAGTTATGTGGCCAATGAGGAATGCAAAGAATGACGGTCCTGGATATCTTCAACCAAGACCTTTCCAGCTAAAATATTACTACCTAAGAAATTACCAACATTCATAAACTTCAAGATTTCCTCAGCTCTACCCTCTGATATTCCAGCTCTCATATCAGCCTTCGAGGAGCTTGTTCCTCATTCTTTTATTTGGAGACTTGTCCCTGGTGCCATAATTTGGACAATCTGGAAATTCAGGAACTCCATTGTCTTCGAAAAAGGATCTGCAAACTCATCACTCTTATCTTTTTATCAAGGTTCAGATTAGCAGCATGGTATTCGGCAAAGAATCCTACGTCTTTGATTCCTCTTGGCCTTCTTATTGGTGACCCTTCCCTAGCAGACTCATGAAAAATTATTAAAAAGAAAAAGACTCTTCCCGTGGTTTGGTCTCCCCCTCCTGAGGGTTTTCTAAAGTTAAATGTCGATGAAGCAGTTAACTGGGATTGGAAAGCGGGTGGTATAGGAGGTTTGCTAAGGGATTCCAGCAGGTGTATTTTAGGCTCATTTTCGGAACCTACTGGCTCGGTACCTCCTGTACTGGCTGAACTAAAAGCAATCAGAGATGGACTTTGTTTTTTCACATCATCAGAATGGGGAGAAAAGGGTCGCTTGATCTTGGAAAGTGGTTGTAAGAGTGCTCTAGAGTGGATTAAGAACCCTGCTTCATGTCCTTCGTGTTTTGAGTCAATTGTTAGGGAAATCGAGTCTCTTGTATCGGGTAAGGAGATCCTATTTCGTTTCATCCAAAGAAGTGCTCATTGGGAGGCAGACGAGTTAGCTAAGAAAGGGATTGGTTAATGTTAGGAAGTAAGAGGGTTGAGTCTAGTTGTACGATTTTTGTAAGGGTGCGCTTTTTTAAACTGATTGTAAATCCTGAGGGTTGGTTTCAGCCCTATTTTCAATAAAACCTTAGGTACTCTTTTCCCCCTTCCGCTTTTTGTCGGGATACCGCTTTGGTATTCTGACAATTATGAAGGAGGTTTTTAACTTCAGAGTGTGGCATTGTTTTGATCTTTGAGAACATTTTATGCATGCAAAAGAATCTTTATATCTACCACAAAGCATGTGCTTGTCTTTAAACTATTCTCCAAGACTTGAGTTACATAAAAAAGCATACCCACATACGCAATTCGTTCACCAAGGAACACAAACAAAATATTACAAAAGGTTAACTTACAGATGAATAACCTGAGATGCAATAATCAGGATGACGAAGCAAAACTAATGTTGTCTCTGCAAACATGAAAAAGAGGGATGTAAGGTAACCATTCTGACAGACATTGAACTTGACATGGTTAAGAAAAATAGCAGACATACACTACTTAGAACCAGATCACTTTATACATGTTACAAGTATTGCTCTAGTAAAACAGAGAAGAAATATTGCAGCTCTGTGCCCATTCATTGCATGGGAAATATCCATTTAACCATCAGCAAAATCAGAAGAAAGCAATGCAATGGATGGTATCTATGTGCATTTCAATAAAACTAAGCCACTAACTGGGTAAAAAGTTTAGGAACCCGTTGTAATAATTGTATGTCAGCAATTTTATTAGCTACCGTACAGCTGTTATTCTCTAAAGCAGATTTCAGAATAGTAAATAGCATAATTAGGCTATAGGGCTGTAAGATTCAAAACCTTTAAATATAGACAGATCTTAGAAAGCTTTACCTGTCAATACAAAGCTTAGACCCTCAGAGGTAGAGGTATCAGCCACTTCAGCGATCCGATTAAAATCCTTTTGAAGAGTCCGTCCTATACCCAACAACCCGACCTAATAATACAAACAATAGTGAGACTACATATGAACAAATGACGATCGAATTCCTTGTCTAGCTCATTTTGCATAACAATTCTTCACACAAAACAAAGCCTCAATACTTAATTAGAAAAGAAATTCATATAAACACTATGTGACTATAAAGATTCTACCAAAATTCAATTTAAGCAACCCTCCTCTATAATTTTCATTTCACATTCAATATATGCAGTTGATAATCCTATTTTTTCACATGTTGATTAACCATGTATTTATTGATGCATACGAGAATCGGTACTTCATATCTTACACTTGTAAACACATCTGATCAGTAGTATTCTCATTCTTGGATAATGGATATCAACTTGTTGATTTGTATCAATTATGCAAAAAACAAAGGAACAATTCCTTATAATACAATATTTCTTCTAACCTAAAAAGCAACTTCACCATAATTACTAGGAGATTTACATGCACAAATAATTACAGAACGAACAGTAATCGGTTCAGTAATGTTAAACATACATTTGAGAACTATACACCTATTCAAACTTAATTAAAGTAAAAGGAACAAATAAAAACCAATTAAAATTATCCAAAAACTTACCTGAAGCTTAAGAACAGTAGTCTTTTCACTAGCAGTAAGCACACTGCTCTCAGACCGATCCGAAAGGAAACCGGAAACCAAAACAAAGGCAGCAAACCCAACCAAAATAAAGAACAAACTCGAACCGGCACCAACACCAACACCAAAAGCTGGCCCCATGTAAAATCCACCACCGCCAAACGGAGCAGGCGCGTAATAAGGAACCGAATACGAAGAAGAAAAACGCGACCCTCCATTCCTGGGAACCGAATAACTCCTCGAAGACGAAGAACTCGAAGAAAAAGACCTTCCGGCCATCCTCCCACCAGATGCAGCCAAAGCAGCGTTATTGGGATCGTACATTAGCAACAAACCCAGTAAAACAGCAGCTATAGCCGGCCTTTTTAATGCTTTCAAAGCTCTGGAGATTGTTTGAGCAACAATCTCGAATGGGCTTTTATCAATCGAGCTGGAACTCAATTGGTTGTCGGAACCCAAACTCGCGCTCATCGAATGCTTCCTCTGCTCCGACGAGAAGAAGCATTTAACCGCGTACTTAGCCGAACGGCGGCCGTTCAAAGCCAACGTTCCGGTGAATTTGAATAAGCGAGGAATGGGAAGAGGAGGCAGATGAAGAGGTAAAGAGTGTTTGAAGTTCAAAGTGTTGGGTTTGAGCAAAGAAGAAGTAGATGTCGCCATGGTGAATGGAGAAAGATGATGACGATGAGCTTTGGGTCTGAAGGAGATATTTTATGAATAAATGAGGTAGATGAGATTTAGTGGGGAATAATAAGTTTGGAGGATTGTTGTGATGGTGAAATTTGAAGGAGTTTGTGGCCATGGAAAGAGGAGCTTCTTGCCTAACCTCATCTCCATTTGAATTGTCATTCAAAATTATAACATCCAATTAAAATAAGTTATTGTTTTGTTAGGTCTATTACTATTAAAAGAGAGGCTCGAGTGTTACAATTAAAAGTAAGGGTTAACTACACAAATGATAACTTATGTTTATGTTTTTCTACTTTTGATCAATGATTTAAAAAAATATGGTGACATTTGTTTTTATTTAATTAAGATACGATCATTTTAGTTATTATTTAATTAAAATGTAATCATCACAGGTTAATTACGGTTAATAATTAACAGAATATGTGATGTGATAGTTGGTATAATCATATATTTGGTCCCTACTGTTTACATATTCTCTCAATTTAGTCATACTTTTAAATAAATTTTGACATAAAATATATTTAATAAGTTAATATAAAAATATTTTTAAATTTAACATATAAAAAATATTATGAATTTAATTATTTATACGCTAAGATACAAAATATATTCACCATGTTGTCTACTTTAGACCAAACAATGATCTTGGCTTAATGGTTAGTTACATGTTTAGTTTTTTAAGTGTCTTTGACAGAATATGTTGTCCTGATTTCTGACCTATCACTAATTGAAAATTATTATCTTTTTGTATATTTATTGAAATCAATTTTTGTTTGTTCTAAACGAAAATAAATTGATATACTAATCCAATGGTATAAGATTCATCCCCTAATAATTTTTTTAGAATTTATGATGATTTTATAAACTTACCGTTCAGAACATAATCTCTAGGCAGATTTTACCAAATAGTGTCCTTGATTTATTCACTAATTCTATTAGCTTACTAGATGAACATATAAGCTTAAATTATACTTCATATAACACTAGGAGTCGCTTCTTAACATAACTCAAACACTAGCTCATCGCAAGCCAATGTTTATTCGAAACATAAATACGAACTAAATGCTCTCACCTGGTGTCCTTAATTTGTAAACATTCCTTAGAAATTCACATTTCATCCTTAAGCTTCTCCTTAGCTTTAATATTGTTTAATCTTGATTCCATCACACAATCTAAATGAACATCATTACCAAATATATTCAAATGCAAACCACATGTTAGAATCTTACTAACATAGGCATACATAGAAATTAGACTCTTAAAAATTCTTTCAATGCTCATTCAATAATAATTTCATGTCACAACATAAATGTTGACCTTAACACTTCCAATTGGTCATTCAAATTCAATTTAATCCTAATTTCACAAACATTTTCACTTAAGCTTCCAACTTTCCAAAATAGTCAAATTTTACATTCTAACATCAATTTCAACACTCAAACATTAATTTACAGCATAATAAATCAACTATTTCATAATTACACATCAACCCATAACTTTTTCATAATTACCAGGTCCCCCAACTTTTCAAAAATTATCAAATGGTCCCCAAATTTTTCTAAGGCTTGTGGAATACTTTTTACATCATTTCCAGCCCCTACATAAATTTTCTAAAATTTTTCTCCCTTGTTCAAGCTTAGGCTGAATACTTTAAAAGTTAAAGACTAGGGTTTTCATGATTTTACTCGATTTTGATTCGATTCAAGGATGAAATCAACATCGATTCAACCTTATACAATCTCTACTATCAAAGCCCTAACTTAATTTCATCAAAAAAATATTTTTCCCTAAAGCTAGGGTTTGGCCGAAACTTTATATGTTCATATAACCTTATACAAGTGATTTTAATCATCAATCGTGCTTGGAAATGATTCTATAACCTCAAAAAATCAAAATCCTTCATCAATTCCATAAACCCTAATGTGAACATAAACGCTAGAGTTTAGGATCTTTCAACACAAACCAAATTAGCAAGCAATAACAGTGCCAAATGATAGCGTTTTTTAAATAGAAAAATTTCTATTTCACGATATAATCCAAAATCTAAAAGAAATTGCTCAAAAATTAAAAATAAAAAATTCTCTTACCTAGGTATGAAGGAGCACGAAATGTTGGCTGAAAATTGGCTTGGTTTCATGAAATTTTGGTAAATTTCATGCTAATTTAGCCTTCAAATTTTCCTGAAATTTCTATTCAATCCAATTTATCGAATTTTTACCAAACTTTAACACTTTCTAGTCTTTAACACAAATTTTGGATCAAGAATCTAATTTCAATAAAACCCCACTCTCAAGAGTAAACTATCCATTTATGGAATAAAAATTCTTTTTGATAAAATTACCACTTAGGTCCCTAAACTTTTTCCAACTTTACACTTTAGTTACTAAAGTTTTAAAATTTACATTTTGACCACTAATCAAAATTTTGGGGTATTATGTGATGAGTTAGCATCCATTTTTTAATGCATAATTTGATATGTTGTGCAGTGTTCTTTTATTTATTTTTTCCTCCTTTTATATTTTCGGGATTGAATATTGGCTCATATAGTTTGTTGGATTTCCGTTTGGGGTATTTTACCCTTAGTCCATCTCTTTTATATTTCAAGTTCATGTATACAGTGTTATACTTTATAATTCAAGCAATTTGTTATTTTTCAAGATATTCTTGTTTCATTAACGGGTTTTTTTCATTATATTTATTGTATTTCTCATTGGCAATAACCTTGTAATTGTAAATTTGAAATCTAGGTTGATCGTGCATACGAAAATGACACATAAAACAAATATAAAAATCATCGATAGATCTGTAGACACTAATTTTCGTCCGACATTACATAATTCATTCCTATTTATTATGTGACTTATTTATAGTATATGATATACGTATATTATATGGTGAATACGCATTGTATATTTATGAGGTTATTTACGTTATATAGTGTGCATGCATTTGTATACATTGTATTTATATGTATATATTATGCGTATATTATATATACATTTTTTTCATATATGGAATTTACATACATTAATGTTGCTTGGTTTTGTATCAGGCTCAAACCCAAAGCCCGTTTCAAGTGAAGCCCAACAAGTGTGCAACCCTAGGTGAGTTAGGGTTTCTCCTATTTTGTTCCTCAGCGTCGTGCTACACTCTAGCCACGCCAACAACCCCGAATTTTTAGACTCTATTCCGACGGCAACACCGAGTTTTCCGGCGCACAAACAAGGCAACAAAAAAAAAACAGAAAAATATATTAGAGTTTGAGTCCTAGTAGGAGTCCAAGATCGAACTAAAAATAGGACTTTTGAACCCTATAAATGCATGCAACTCACAAGAGATCGAGGGAAAAAAATGGCCCAACATTCAAAACGACGGAGAGCATAGCTGATACTGGTGCACCATTCTTTTTGGCAGCCATAGGAATGAACACCACACTTCCGTTATTGAAGTCCTCAAGACTCCTTCGCCGCCACATTCTTAAAACCCACCGTGGCCTCTGCACCGAATCCAACCCACAATCAACTCCGCCCCCGCCCCCAAAAATAAAAAAACACAAGGTCGCAATTGTTGCAGGTGTTCCTCGAAATATTTGAGAAAATGGGGAAATTAGGGGAAAAGAGAGTAAATTTGTGAAGAAGAATCTTCAATCTGTGTTGAAAAGGAAACGACAGTTGAAATCTATGTTCAAAATGAAGGCTTTTAAAAGAGATAAGAAGGAAGAAGCAGAAAACCTTGACGAAGATCAAACAAGGAAGTCGAATGAAAGAGGCCTCGAAAGCAAAAATATAGATGATGCTGAGCTTGATACGGTATTTGGTGATGAGAGCGATGCAGTTGAAGATAATTCCGGCAGCGGTGGATACTTATCCGAGGACTCGAGCTGTCCGTCTTTGGATGAAAATGGAACTGAGATTGATCAAGAGGATATGGATGTAGACAACGGTGGTACTGGTGATTAGTTAGAGCAGAACACAACAATTAGTTTAGAGCTTGCACAGCATAAGAAACAAAATCCTTAGTCAAAATACATATGGGACCTCATTTTGTTTTGATAAAAGCCCACGTGAAGTTGGACTGGGTAAATTCTTTATGTGGTCCTTCAATTATTATGGGTAAATCTATTCCTCGTTCCTTGTAAGTTGTATACTTTATATTTTGATCACTGCACTTTATTTTCATTATTTTAATTTTGATTTCCAATTCTATGCATGCTTTATTTTGGTCGCTAGTGGAATTTAATTTATTTTTTATTTTGTTTTGTTTTATTTTTCTTTATTTATTTATTTATTTTATTTTTTATTTGTCTTTTTACTAAATTTATTTATTTTTATTTATCTATATTTTATTATTGTTATATTAACATTTTTTTATTATTTTATTTTTTTCTAACATATTTTTGTAATAGTAATTCCAACCGATCAGAGTTAAGTAATTTGAATCGGGTTTTTAAATTTCTAATTTAAATTTCAAATTTTTGCAATTAGGACAACCAACAAATTAATTAGTACCGAAAGGGCGGTTCATGGGTGCTAATCCTTCCTTGACTGTAACCGACTCCCAAACCTGAAATTTATGGTAAAATGCAGATCATGTAAGAAATAAAAGTATTCAGTCAACCTATTTATTTTTAAAATAAATGATTGGTGGCGACTCTAATCATTTAATCCAAATCGAAGCTCAATTCCGGGCCCAACCGAGAGACGACCGCGACAGCTTGGCGACTCCGCTAGGGACAGGTAAGTGAGTCATGCCAAAATTAATTTTCGGTTACCTTTTTATGCGAAAATGGTAAATTTAAATTTATTTATTCGATTCCAATTATTTACCTTTGATTATTTTTCAAATAGATAGTTGTACTGACATTTTTTTATGATTTCAGATTTTTGAAAAGTTTCTATCTCTGGCTCTATACCCGAGCTCTGAACCCTATTTAAGTGGGGGTGAAAGCGATGCCTTCGTGTGAATGTATTCACCGCATAGGCCTAGCAAGTAGCCTTCGAGATTCATATATCTTATGT